GGTGTAACAGGTTACAAGCGGCCGGTATGATAGAATGAGGGCGTGCTTCTTTGGCAGCTCCACAACGGCCGGAAAGCTGCTGTAGGGAACAGGCATTGATAATGGCATATGGATATCAGGCGGAGGGTTCCGATAGCGGTTTTGTTCTTCTCCCTTATTCTACCTGTTGGAGAGTGGTTGTTCTGGAAAGCCTCGGCACGTGGGACTGCGTCAATGTGAGCAGAAAAGCATTGATCAATTGTTTCCTCACGGTGGGGCCCATACTGAGGAAAGAAGCAGGGCCCTCCTCCCTCTATCCGCACTAGGGAGCCCTTACTAAGATCCATCTCGCATCACGCTTCCAGGCCGGCCAGCACCAACACCAGCCTCCGGGAGGGGGGTCTTCCTCATGTACCTGACCAGGTAGGCACATGTACCTCAGTACTTTATCTCAGTGTGTGGCCTGTGGACGGCAAGGGGCCTGTGCTGTGTGTCTGCAAGAACCTTGTGCGCTCGGCTTGGGCTGAGGGTTATGTGGGTGCGAGCGCGAATCGGCCGAATACTGCGCCTTTCGTGTAGGGGGTAGGGGAGGGGACCTGCGTACCGCATGTGGCTGGCCATGTGTCGATTGTTGAAACGTGCCCACTACCAGCACCGCGGCCAGTCGCAGACAGCCAGCTGTCAAGGGCGGAAAAGAGCGCTTTGCCAGGCTTCAGGACATGGCATTGGACGACGCCGGTTCTCTGTTCGAGAGGTCCACTTATTATTGATGAACGGACATGTCAGGAGTGCGGAAAAAAGAGGGAAGGAAAAAAGCAAAGACAAACGCCCTAAAACGCTATACCCACTGGCCGGAACCAACAACATGTGGGCGCGTGGATGAATCGAGAGGCTGAGGAAGGGAAGCAAAATAAAGCAATGCTGTTAGGCCGCTGCTGGCGGTTTGCACGCCACCTCTCGTTGGCTCTGCCACTCACCAGCCTCCCATGATGGAGCTAGGGCGGAATTGCAACGGAAAGAAAGGATGTGGAATAGCCAGGACAGGCATTCACAACCGGAGGAGGGTAAGGGGAACAACAGCCAACGCAAAGCCTAAGAGACAGAGGTTCCAAAAACCTCTCGTCACTGGCCGGGAGAACCCTTGCTAGCTCCTCAGTCCGGTGGACAATCCTTCAATCGCGATAGCTTCCCCACCGTTTAGTCTACGTCCGTCTATCTTTTACGATCTAGCCTGAGCGTCCTGTCTTTTCAGCACCCAGCAATACCCATCACAACGCACTTTTTCAATGAATGTGATGCCGATGGGTGTGTGGTTGTTGGCTGGATGGTGGAGACTAGCCTCTCCAGACACAATGGATGCTTATGCGCAACCTGTACCTCAGACCGTCTGACAGGTCCGGGAGGTACTTTCGTGCCTAGATGAGGATGGGAAGGGGGCCTGAGGACAGTACGTAATCCGCTGGAACTGCAGAGTCGATTCCCCGTGCTCCAGCCCATCTCTGCCTGGGGGAAAGGGCTGCTCCATCCGCACGTATCCGTATCACTATCTGTTGTGACACCCATGATCCTCCTTCCTGGGTGGAATTCGCGCATATACTCTATTTTTCGAAGGATTTAATGGCCTGTGAAGGACACTCTCGCTTTGCTCCAGGTGTCCGCCTTGCCGTCCTGCAAGGGTTGGCTGATCACGTCTTTCAGCCGAGGCCAATCAGCTCTTTTTCATATGATGCTGGGCGCATCGACGGCCTCCGGTCCTCATGCTGGCAGGTTGTTTCCCTCAACTTTGTGAACTATATTGCGGACAAGGGAGCTCGGATATTAATACGTAATCGATGCGGACTGTCTGGAGCTGGAGGGTGCGATCGCGAGAGGAGCCGAAGCCCCCTTCTCGCAACCTTGACTGCATCCCGTTCGGAATGAACAAGACGTCTGTGCTGAGATAGAGAATCTGTCTGGAGTGGTACATACACCCACGCGCGCACACGCACCCATTACGCATGTACATGCGTACGCACATGAAATATGCCAGATCTCCTTCCCTGGGCGGGATGGATCCTTGCAGGCGACCACGGCCAGACTTCCCAGGAAGCTAGGTGGGCAATGATTCGACCACCCCCGGCCCAGCTAGCCTGGCCTGCTTCGGCGGGACTACCGAGCCTAGATGACCCTGCTCGATGATACATCTTCCAACGACAAAGACAAGGAAGTAGTAGGTGAATCGCAAGCTGACCCAGCCTTGGGAAAGTCTCATGACGATGTAGGAACAGCCATGCCAATTTTTCTTCCTCGGAACCAAATTGCAAGAGGTTGGGGGCCTTGCTTCCTTGAGAGGGTTGGTTGATCGTGTCGTACATCCTGGACATGGTGGACGCTCAGACTTGTGACCTGTGATCCTGTTCGTGTCGGGGTTTCATGATGCCATTTCCGGCTCTTCCATCTCATTTGCCCTCCGAAAAACCGTTACTGAATGGAGGTGTGATTATAGTAGAAACCTCGGCTCTCACTTGTCTTTTTCTACTCTCAGTTTTTTTTCATCATAATGAGTGAGACCCAGCGCATCCCGTGATAAGTCCCCTGCTAACCCGCTCTGTCAATGGCTTGAAAGCGGTGAGGGATCAGTTGGTTTGCAAGTCTGCCTTCTTGTGTCACTTGTCTCAGGCCGGAGCCAGAAGCCGACCGTAATCAAAACAACCTCCATCATACCGTTGGCTCTCGATTGTCCGCCACAGCCTCACTGGGGGTGTTCGCCCGCGCCGCCTTGGCCCTGGTGATCCATCCATCATGGGCTTATTGCTATCAGTGCGTCGTGTACCAGGAGGGGGTTGCAGGCCGGGTCCCCGGAGAGTGAGGGGGAGGGGGGCTCTCACATGAACGGCCAGTTTTACCTGCACTGCCCTGTAGATCCACGGCAGCAGAGGCTGCTGATCGGAAGAAATGCTCTGGGGATGGAACAAAGGCCGATGCAACATCCGCTGTGGCCCTGGACGAGAGGCGCCAAGCAAGCAATTACATGTAATTACTGGGTACTACTTGGGGCGGGATGGGTTAGTTTCGTGCTGGCATGTCCGGCCTGTCCGGCCTCGGTGTGCGTGGTTTAAGGAGGGGGGCTTGCACATGCGCTGTGGACAGCAGATGAAGATATCAAAGATCAGACCCGGTGGGTGGTATGTCGTAGAAACTGCAGAGTTTAGATCAGGTACGCGTTTGAGGATCTCTGATCATTGCTTCTAGCCTTGATTAGCGCATTCTGCCGCTCAATCTCCTGCATCGACCTGCAGGTTGGGGAGCCAGGCACGGTTTGCCGCACGTCACCAAACTCCCCTGCATATGTGCATATGGGCGGCCAGTGCCTGGAGACAGCGGCTAAGATCCATCCGCGAGCGTGGAGTGCAGCAGAGGGTTTGAAACTGTCGAAGCCATCAAGCGCCAAACCATGTGCGTGAGCTGGGTACCGCATATGTAGGTGACGCTCGTCGCAAAAAGCAAAAGCTCAATCTGTCAGAAATCATTTCGGATCGTCCTGCTGCCGGCTGTGTCATTGAGAAAGGTCACTGAATAATTTACGCATGTGCCAGAGCTCGGACCCTGCATGATTTGAGGGGGATTGAACCGCGCACGTCAAACGACGGTACCTGCGCCCACAGCCGACGACTGATACAGGCGGTATCGTTTTTGTCATTGTTTGCGATCGGTAACTCGTGTATCCCCTCAGTTCCGAGCATCGTATATCCGTAATTGGCTCCTAACTATTCTTTTCCTTTCTTTGGAATAGAATAGCCGCCAGCCTCCTAGATTTAGAGACACTATCTTGTTGGGAGCTCCAACACCCCAGCCACCAAGCTGAGTGTCTATTCTTCTTGGTAATCTGTGGTGGCGATCTGCCGCTTGTAGCTGCCTGTTGTAAGAAAAAATTGTGACAACTCTCCCCCCTAGACCTTATCTTTCTCTAGCCCTTGCCCACGCTAGGAGGTAGTCAGCAGCTAGGACGAAGCGGGAGGAACAGCAGCCGCCAACAGCGAGAAAGGGAGGCTGGGCTTAGCTAGCCGGCGCTAATAACTTAGAGATGAACTGGTCAAACAACGACGGTGGTCTTAGGGCGGCAAATGATTGGGCCAAGGTGCGCCATGTCTAGAATATCCCTGGCCGTTGGACTTGTCGTGGCTCCGGCGGCGCTTGCGCAAAGGGGGGACGGAAGACACAATACGTATGATACAGAAAAAGAAAAGCAAAGCTAGACACCGGGAGCAGCCCTGCTTGCACCTAGTGAGGGTGTATCACTCGTACGAGTCAGCGCTGATAGGGCTGGGCCAAGGAGAGAAGAAACCAGTACCCATATTGAGGAGGTACCGCAGACATCTGAATCCCAGCAATGCGACGATAGCGTGCGGAGAGCAGAGCTCCCGCCAGAGCACGGGTACGTGTCTGCACCTAGCAGATGAAAGCCCACTACTGTGCTTTGCCGTGCAGTCCAGGGCAGGGCAAGCACAGGGGTTGCTGGCTGGCGGTGGATCTTTGCCAGCCAAACACTGGAGCATGCATTGTGCATCGTATCGTCCATGGATGATGCTATTAGGCCTAGAAGCATGATATTAATAAGGACGGGAGGGTCCAGATGGGAACCGGACTTTAGAGGACGAGGACGTCGGCGTTGACAGTCCGGCTGAAGCTGGCCCTCGCGAGAGAGAGATGGCTTTGCCACTGGCTGAGTGCCCTCCACGTAGCTTGCCTGTGCTCTTGGCATTGAATGCGGGAATTGAAGTTGGGCTGGAAAAGGGCATCTTCCCCTACCTACCCGTACGAGCTAAAGCGATTCGATCAAGCAGTAGCCTCCGGCCAGGTTGGTGCTGAGCAATCGTATAGGACGGTGCTAAGCATCTAGCAGTAATATCTGTGTGCAGGGCCGACCTGCCTACTGCACTTTAGCGCACGATGGGCGAGATTCGCTCCATTCCGCCATGTACCCCAATTCTCATGTATGTTTGTGGGTAGGGCATTGTCCTCTTTTTTACCTTTCATGCCGAATGCCTTTCCGTCGCAGCAAACGTCCCCTGGGGCATCCTGCTCGCACTGTGCCCCCCTTCCCTCCTGGCCCGGCCCAGGCCAATGCCAGCGCTGAGGGTGGTGGAAGCGACTCCAGCTGGCGCCAGCACAACATCGAAATCCCGCCCCATCCAGCGCCCTCAGAAGAATCCTGGTACGACGGTGTTCCACCCACGCCGCCTCCAGGCCGCCCCTGTCAGCACACCTTCGACCTCCCTTGACTTCCTCTTCGGTCCCAGGCGCTGGATGGGGCGCGCTGTTGGAGTTCCCTATCGCACCCCTGCCCACGGGATACCTCTCCAGGCTCCACCCGCTTCTCAGCAAGGGCAGGGGCCTGCTAGCAGGTCACGGCGCAGAGCAGAATGAGGGCGAGAGAGAAAAAGCCGGGGATTTTCAATGGGTCGCTGGAGCACTCGCCGCTGGGAATTGGCTGGCAGTCTATTTAGGTAGGTAGGTTAGGTAGGTCGGCAGGCAGTGAGCTGTGGCACCAGCGCGGTGGTGGGCAGCGGCTAGGAGACCTGCATCATCTGCAGTGGTGCATGGAAGACTGGGCTGGGCCGGCATTGGCATCGCAAACGCACGATTTGGCCGTGTATCTGGGATAGACTTCTCAACACTATGACGAGAGACAGAGACCCATGGGAAGGGATCTGAGGTGAGGATCAAACAATCGCTCTAGGAATCGATCACACGACGTAGCTGCCACGCGCTTGCCTCCTAGAACCAAAGCCAGACAAAGAAAGAAGCCTTGCCTTGGAGGCTAGAGTCAATTTGAAACCCCCCCTTCGCCATCTACTGACCGCCACCGACTTCAAAGAGACGGCCGGGAGGTGTCAAGGTTGCAGTACATCTGATTAGGCTTTAAGGGTACTTGGGCAGGTACTTGGGACCGGGGTCTACTCAGCACCCTACAAGGGTGGGCTGGCAGTAGAGTTCAGGTGCATGCTGTAGGGCCATTCAGCAATGGTCGACGGGTGTAAAAAAAAGGATGAATAAACAGAACCTTGTGTTTGTGTGCGGGAAACTATAATCTATGGATCTGCAGGCTCTTTTTATTTGGCGAGATGCTGTAGAAATCAAAACAACACGGCCCTGGACAACGACGCTCGCTCAGGTCCCGTTGCCCAATTCGCGTTTGCAGAGCACAGCACACATGTACGTCCACACACACACTCAGGACACGCTCACACTCACCCACACACCCCCACACAATACCCACCACGGGCAAGGTACAGCGAAGCAGGGTGCACTGCTAAAAAAAACCGACAGGGGAGTATCCCAAGTCACAACACCCACCACCGCCGGTACCTCCGCGGGCTCGCCCTTGTACAGGCTACCTCCAATTCGACCTCGCCCATCTCGCTACCTGGCCCTGACCCGATATTCCCTGCATCTCCCGGACCTGTTGGGTGCTAGCCAGTGACTTGCCGTCACGCCGCCGACGCAGCCTCTGCAAAGTACCCGGCCTGCTAACCCAGGCTAAGGCCAGACCCGACTTGGCCTGGGCAGACCAGACCACCGTCCATCGGGCTGGGCGTGTGAAGAGCCACCACTACGAACAAAAGACAGACCACCTCCTCCCCTCTGGCGACCTCCACCAAAAAAACAAAACCATCCCGGGCCCGGACGAAAGCCTCTCTCGTCTTTGCACTTCTCGACCTCCGGGACCTTTTCTTCACCCCTTCTCTTTTTCTTTTCTTTTTTCCTTTCCCGACAGCAGTCCGTCGCGGCCCCCTCAATTTCGAATATCCATCCCCCCCTCTCTTTCCATCTCTCCACCCCCCGGTCACGCCTCTCAAGGCGAGGAAGAAAGGTAGGTGCAGTATCTACGCACTTATTCTCCGCCCACCTTATGCTCCTTGCCGCCCGCGGTCCTCTCACGCACGCACCGTACACACACACCACACCCAGGCACACCCCCCTCCAGCCCTCCCAATCCTTTTTTAACCTACTCTGCCGCTGCTGCTACTGCTTGCTGCTTGTCTTGCGCAACCTCCCTTAATACTTCCCCCCTCCCGGATCTCCAACGCGGCTAATCGTCTGCATCGTAGCAGTGAGCGGCTTGAGAAGGCAGAGAAGCAGAGAAGGAACTCTTTCCATTTCCTCCACAATCGTTTACTTCCGCAGCTGTGGTTGTGTTGTGTGCTTGCGAACCCTCGATCTTCTCTCTCAGACACCGCTGTCCCGCGCGCCGACGAGATCCTCTCCTCCCACTTCTCTACCTCCCCAATTGCAGTTTTTGCTCTCTCTTCTCCACGGCCTTGCAGTCCTCCTTAGAGTGACGGCCTGTCTTTTGTTGTTGTTGCCGTCGTCAGCTTTCTCGTCTGCTCACACTGCGCTTCCAGCCTTCGACCTTGTAATACTTCTTTCCAACCGATTGGAGTCCGACCACGACTGTTTCGTGCAGCGTCAATCGATTTTCAGCAACGGAATTGACCTTCCCTCGAGCCCGCACCCCGTGTTACGATTGAAACGAACGAGTTTGATGCCCTGTTACGAGTAGCACGCATCTTGCCACGACCGCCTTTCTGAACCAATTCTCTGGTTACATCTGCCGTTTTAAAGTATCTTTACTTCTGTACCAGCAGCAAGCGGCGCGATTCTCGTCCTCGAAAACCTCGTTTCGTTGCATTTGCTCTTGTGGTGCATTTCTTGCCAGGGATTAACCCCAATTGATTGCCCATCCACGTGTGTTCCAATTGTCTGTTCCCCCAAGGTGTGATCGGTATAGCCTCCCTCCAGGACATTATTATACCGTATTCAAAGCCCCTCGGAAAGAAGTGAAGGTTGGGATTCTTTGAAAAGTACCCTTTATCGCCCAGTCCAGTGCGCTCTGAAGCGCTTTTCTTGTATGAATACCACGAGACGACATTCTCAGCCTCTGCTGCCACCCGGCCAGGCATACTCGTCAGGATTAGCTTCTCCCCCCATACCATCCATTGCGTCCTCCAACGGCTCTCACACTGGATCGCTCTCGTCCTTCACCTCAATCAACTCCTCCAACGGGCCTAAAACTCCTTCGCCCTCTATTCCTCTCAACGCCATAACCGCCACCGCCACCCCAATCGCCAGTTACGACGCAATGAATCCTGGCGGACCAGACATGTACTATCAACCGCACATGTCGGCTGGGCAGCCTCAACCACCCCAGACAGTAACATCCAGCGCCATGCCTCATTATCAGCACCCTCAGCCGCCTCTGCTTCAACCTGGCCACCAATACTCACCTGCGGCACCTTCTTATAATCCCCAGTATGGATATGCCGGCGGCCTCACTTCGCCTCCTGCGGCACCCGTCTCTGGAGCCATTGGAAATAGCCAGCCAAATGTTCTGCCGTTGCCGGGTGTCAATGGCCAGGGCGCCATGAGCCAACATTATACGTTCGATACCACTGGGCAACAGCCTCCTCCAGGCATGAAGCCCCGTGTGACAGCTACTCTCTGGGAAGATGAGGGTAGTCTTTGCTTCCAGGTCGAAGCTCGCGGCATATGTGTCGCTCGCCGAGAAGGTAAGTTTCTGGTGCTCCGTGACGGGTTAAAAGGGAACAGTCAAAAAGTACTCTTGCTGATTTTTTATTCTCAAGATAACCACATGATTAATGGCACAAAGCTGTTGAACGTTGCGGGCATGACCCGTGGTCGACGAGATGGTATTTTGAAGAGCGAGAAGGTCCGACACGTCGTGAAGATCGGGCCCATGCACTTGAAGGGCGTCTGGTATGTTTTGATTGCCATTTGAGACATCCTTTTCAACTACCCCGCTGACGCAGCACAGGATTCCATATGAGCGCGCTTTGGACTTTGCCAACAAGGAAAAGATCACAGAACTGCTGTACCCTCTCTTTGTGCACAACATTGGATCCATGCTCTATCATCCCACAAACCAGAGCCGTACATCACAAGTTATGGCGGCGGCGGAGAGGAGAAAGGCTGAGCAGCAAGGACAGCAGCTCCGCACACCTCCAGCCGGACTCCCGTCGATTAACTCGCAACAGTCTCACCCCATGAGCTTACCTGGTCCTCAGCCCTCGTTGCCCTCGAACAACATAGGTCGGCCACCAATGGACCGTGCTCACACATTCCCCACCCCTCCCACAACAGCGTCGGGAGTTATAGGAAACATTGGTGGCTCGGAAAGCTTCAACTGGCAAGGTCAGGGTATGAACGGCACACAAGGCACAAACCCCATGGGTATGGAGCCAAATGCTCGGTCGATGCCCAACACGCCAATCACTACCCCTCCCTCTCACATTCAGTTTGGATCCAATTCCTCTGGCTATGATGCCGCCTCCCGGCCCATGTATAACGGACCATCCTCCCAACACGCATCGTATGCGCCTTCTAACGGTGCAACCGATCGAGTCTACGCACCGGGTCCTTCGTATCCTAAGCATGAAATGGCTCCGCCATCTAACCGACCCTCAGGACACGGCGCTCCAGCTGAGTCGCAGGACGCGAAGCCACCGAATGGCGTTTTACCGAGCGAACACGCTGCTCAGCCTCATGGAGAGGACGACGACAACCACGAGCATGAGCAAGAGTACACTCATGACAGTGGGGCTTATGAAGCTCATCGCTCCTCTTATAACTACACCGCCCCTGGCGTGGGAGCTCTGACAGGTGATGCCAACGTCCACCCCGAGATGACGGGCTCGCCTAACCACCCCACAGGTTCAGGGCGTGCTACCCCGCGAACGACAGGTCCGACGAACACTTACTACCCTCACAACAATGGGTACGCAACTCCACCTCCATCTCGTCAGCCGTCTAGCAGTCTGTATAGTGTCATTACTAACGATCGTTCCTCTAGCAACGGTGCTTCTGGAAATGGCGTATACAATCCCGCCGACGATATGAATCACTCAATGCCCAATGGCTACTCTCAGCCTCCAGTCCATAACGGGATGAAGAGAGGTCGAGACGACGACGGTGACCACTCACGGGCTGGCGTCCCTGGTGACATGGGCCCCCTTGATCTCAAGCGCCGAAAGACCTTGGAATCATCGGTACCAGCGCCAGCCTATGATGCGATGAACCGACCTGCCTCAGCAATCAGCGGTGGGCCACAACAACGATAAGACTTGTTGGTGCATTTAGACACCCGGAGCGGTATGCACAACTGGCGTTCAATAGAGGGACCTAAAGCCCACAGAACATCCGAAGCTGGGCGGATGCAGAAGGGCCAAATTACTATCAGGGATTGGCGTCTCCATTAGACGGTCACTTGAGGAAACAGCAAGTGAAGTTTGCATGGACTGGTCTGCCCAAATCCAATCATCATTCTTTCTCGTTTCTTCTGTTTTCATTTTTTGACCTTGGTTTATTATGCGCTGGGAAGCGTTATGACGGTTCTATCCTTGGAGACGTGGTGACGGATTATGACTATCGATTCTGCGTCATTTAGATGTGCCTTGTCATGGACGTATATGGCTTACGACCTCGCGTTTCTACATGGAAGGCATAATTCTGAAAAAAGGCACCCGACTACTGCGAGTTTATTTTTTCCACAACTCTAATCGACATGGGGAGCACGTCATGAAGAGTACAGCATTGCCTGTGACGATAATCAGGCGGAGACGATGCATCAGTGGCTGAACGAGATGAATTGTCTTTTTTTATCCTTTTGTTTGTTTTGATAGTTTCGAGTCAAGCTCTGATGATGCGGTCCGACTGAAAGAATGCTTCCGCCTTGTTTTTCTTTGGACACGACTTGCGACATCTGGCGCACACTATTGATGAATGACCTTACGACTTGTTTATTCGCTTCTTTGGGTTACTCATACCCCCTTTTTATGCTTTTTAGTTTTCTTTTTGTTTAAAAGCGTCACAAGACGGTGTGTTGGAATTTGCTTTTTGCTTTAGGTAACGACTTATGAGAGACAAATAAAAATATGCTCCCCAGTGAGGGAGTGTTTGGGTATAACTCTAAACCGTGCAAACCCGTGTCGCGTCTTGGGACCAAACTGACTAGAGCTGCAGCCACAGCACTTAGCTCTCCAAGTGACGTGATATCATGCATTGGACCTGCATCTCACAAACTGGCCCGTCATGAGAGATATCGCCTGCATCTGCGGAACATGTCTTACCTGTCGCGCATCGGCCAATCCGTCTGCACGCAGGAGGCGTTTCGCCAACGACATCTGCAAGGCAGTTTCACATTGCCCCTTGCATTTCTGCAGCCTCTGGGCCTGTTTCTAACAGCCGTACTGTGTGCCATGCATAGATTGACTGCCCCAGAAAAAAAAAAAAGAAGAGTTGGTGGAGCTAATTTTCTTACCAGCGCCAGTGAGGCAAACAATTCTTTGTTGTCGTTCTCCCAGGGAGTGAATAAGGCGCCGCGCCCCGCGCGAGAGGTCCGACTAAGTATCGATACGTGGGCGGAATTGCTCACAGGTCGAGATACATGGGAACCCTAGGTTTTACTTGGGTGGCTGGTCTTCCCCACGGACGAAAACACGAGTGTTGAAAGTTTGGGCCGGGCAAGGGGGGGGGGGGGGCGTGTGCTCTCGTTTGAGACGACTTCTCGCCTCCAATCTATCGATTTTCACTAGGTGAACTTAACTCACTCTTCTATTGTCTTCGCTAGGTCGCCACGATCTGTCCATTTATGGGCATGCAAAGGAGAAAGAACGGGATCGCATCGCGCTACGCCGCTGGCGGAAAACAAGAACCGATGGAGGAGCAACTTTTGTATTCGGCGGTCGGTCAGAGTTTAACTTCCCGAATGGTATATTTCGCAAGGGGCCCCTCATATGTAGGTACACATTGATCTAGGAGAAGGTTGACGCCTCGCGGGGTGGATGTCCCCACGGCCGCCAATTACAAAGGGGATGGAGGGCGAGGCAATATGCCCGGGCATTTCCTCCGGAGGTTTGTGCGAAGGTGCGGAGGGCGACGTTTTGCTAGTCCCAAAGTTTATGTTAGGGACTAGCAGTGTCACGTCTTGCTTCAGTTTAGGCTTGGATCTGGAGGCTGGCAAGGGGCACGCCCCCTTATATTCGCTTGTTGTTGAGGGGGCACCTGCTTAGCGGGATAGGTGAGTTTTCTGGGACGGCCTCACTTCCGAACTCAGGGAGCCCCGGCCAAAGGCGCCGGTCGGTCATCGGTAGTCGAGGTCTGATTGTGAGAGAACTGTGGAGCGGATGGGAACAAGTCGAAAGGATGTTGATCGCAAAGCTAGCTCGACTCCTGGGTTTGGGTTGTTTATGCTTGGTAGACGCGCGGCTGGTCAGTCCGCCTACCTTGCGACAGGAAACACCAGGGCGAGGTTTGGTTGACAGTGATGGAGCGAGGACTCGATATTGAATGCACCGTGCGATGATCAGATGTTCGTTTCGCTGTGTTGGACTTTGGCAGACGGCTTTGCCATGCTGATTATGAACTGGTTGGTGCTGGGTTTTGACATGCTCTCCAACTGAGCAAACAGGATTTTATGTTCTGTTTCCGTCACTGGACGATACGTATTCCCATGTAATGAAACGATCCTTTCATCGGTCCACAGCAATCAGAAGCCCAGCGAGTGGGTGACATTGGAATTCAGACACGCAAACATTAAGCTGCTTGTATTCGAGTCTGCGACCGATATTGTCAGACTATGGAGTGCTAATAATGTATACCTCAGAGACAATATAGCAGATATTGTCCCTTTATTTTGTTTTACATGTCCTACTGAATTTCTCTAACTATTGTAGAAAGTAGCCCGGTTATAACCAACTGTTCTATTAGGCGTCTCATGTCTCCCATCACCCATTTGCCCAGTTACTATCCTGGAAGCCTTGACTGGCGTCAAGATGTTGGTATAAGCAAACAGGGTTGAAGTCGCCAACTATCCAAAGGCAGCCATCCCACCCTTGTCTGGGCAGGTGAGCCGGTATGTTGCGCAGAAGATGCAAATCGCATTGAGGAGCGAGATATAATTAGGTAGCTATCTCAGCAAGCGCCCAAAGCATGCGCGTGCCCCTCCCCTCGTTTAATGTTACAGAAAAAATAGTCCCGTCATATCAGTCCATATGTGTGCGCTCGCATCGCGGAGGGGGTTAATACCGGTATTATTGTCTATGTATTCTACTGCGCCTTGGGGACTTGTTTCAGACACCATCGGGGATAATGCAACATTGGACCCGAGAGGGAGGGCCGACCTTCACCATGATTCCTTGGGATGGAGATCAATCACATCATGTGAGATTAGCCGCCGTGGCCATTACCGCATGAAGCCTCATGTACAATGCAAATGTGGCATCCAGGAGCGTCCTCTATAGTGACGCTGAACGACGCATAATGGCCTTCTTATCTCGTCAATTATCTTAGGGAGGCGGTTGGCGATCAAGACTTATTGGTGGCAACAAGTGTGTATAGATGACATAGGCACGGGGTTCTTGGCGTACGTAGTTGGCAATGGCGCACTCTGAATGGCTACACGTTTGATTGTCATCATTAATCATGGGCTGAGTTTCTGACCATACAAGCTGACTGGTCGCCCAGTACTCCCACACGATTCATGCTCTTGACCAGGATAGGCAGGGTAAGAGGTGTCACGTAATGAAGTTAGTACAGGTGCGATGCCTCCCTTACACTTTCGCTCTCTTCTTTGATTTAGGGACAATGAGATTGGGTAGGCTCTCCTCTGCTTACGACCTATAGGAGAGGCATACTATTTAGAAAGGATATGTGGGTGGGAAAGCAAGATACGAGACAAGGGAGATCTCTGAGCTGGTCAATGATCAAGCGTGATAAGGGCGTAGTATCAAGGCCGGAAGACACCTCCTTGACCTTGGCAATGCGGATAGTGAGAATGAGCAGACAAGCTGACCACTGGGATGATTTAGTCAAATAGAGAAAATCTCCTATCAGCAAAAAGGAAAGAGCCCGATAAGTGAACAAGGGCGAAAGAAAAGTGGGAGATAGAGACTTTCGTAGAAGAGTTACCCCTTTGGCTCTCTGCCGCCGTCTTCGGCTGAATAGGCAAAATATTGGGTTGCCTTGTGTTCTATCGGCGTTTAACTTGCCCCGATGATACCAAGCCATCCGACCAGGGCACAACCTTGCGAGGGTGAAAAAATCGAGGTGTTCTCCTCTCTTGCCAATGCATGTGACCGTATATCACTTACCCGCCGGAGCTAGTAGGTGAGATGCATGAATCTATAACTCTGGATGCCTTGTTTGTCAGCTAGGGAAGATGGAGAATCCTACCGAGTGGACAAATTTTCTACACAAGGCAAGTACATTGGAAAAAACCGTGGTAAGTGACGGTAACGTGGATGCTGATGGTGTGATGGCTTGCAGGCTGGTATGTAACCATGTGGGGAGGCCGAGACCTTTTGCACCGTGGTGACATCCTGGGTGGATGGTCAATGGCTGACTGACACCACCAATCGATGGCAAGGATCGATACTCTAGTCTTGCTGTGGTGGTTGAAAGCGACCAGGCGGTACTCTGATATTGAGCGAAGTCGGTGGCTCAGTTGCGGGGTATAGGCCCCATGTTGTCGCTAGTCTTATTGATGAACACGAAGGAAGTTACCTGGGAGAGAAATGAGGGAACAAGGATGGTGATGCATGCATCGGTAGATTTGGACGTCACAATATCCGATTCAATCGTGTTGGTCCTACTCTGCTGCCGTTGGCGTGGCGAGCCAGATTGTTGGGCCGGCTACTGGCACATACCGAGCCAAAGAGCATAGAGAGCGCATCAAGGTTTGTGACGGGAACACAACATGTTCGCAGCTGCGGTCTCCTGGCAATGCAATGTATTGCTGCATTGCAACACGAACTCGACGCTCAGCTCGGCTGGTTGGTGTCTTGTGGCCGACTGCATCAAGAAAGCGGACCAACCTCAACCGTGATTGATTGCATGGCGGTGGAGTCGAGGGGTTTTTTCCACATCATTATGCAGCCGCCATGGCAGGCCCAGGGATCATCACGGCGGCATATGGAAGAGGGTGGTCGGGCATGGCCGTCTTCCAGTGAGAAGAGGCGGTTGATGGCGGTTGATGATCAAGAGACAGGCTCTGGCGGCTGATTGGCCCGCGGAAGAGGTGACGGCCGGGCAGCCGAGTCAGGCGACAGGCCAATCAGCCGCCAGGACTAGACGCCGAGGGGAGGGGCCGCAGCAGGTGCAGCCCGTCACAAGGGTGGAGCCTTCCCGATTCGGTATTGGCTTGCGCGACAAGTGCAAGTGCAGCTGCAGCGTAACCCGCACCTCTTTCCTTGAGGGCAGAAAGCTGCTAGTGCCGGCTCTAGTGCTGCTTGGCCCTGCTTCTTCCTGTTTGCGGGCTGCTGCATGCTAACCGCCCAACGAGCCTGGACGGTGTGATGGTCCCGCCCTGGCCCTCCATGCTGTGGGTTCTCTCTGCCGCTGCCAGGCCTGGTGATTGGCTCGAGACCAAGTTGGTGCATACACTCGGCTGGTCGACATGCGCATGTGTCTTTGTTTCCCGGCTGACCGTCGTGCTCCTCGTTGGCTGCGGCCATGGCTCAGAGAGGGGGACGAAGGGCCGCCGGCCACAGTGACTGGCCGCCTCTGTCCCATCCTCGACGACTATATAGCACTCCCACAGCCGCACTCTCATTGCATCTTCTTCTTCTTTTTTCTTCAGCAAGACTTCAAGTTTCAAATCCTCGTTTTTTGTTTTCCCTCATACCCTTTTTGTTTTTGTTGTTTCTCTTGTAGAGCAGGCTCTACCTTTTACTTCTAATCTCACGTCTCTAATATCACCATCTGAGAATACCCTCGCCCGGTCCCAGATCACAATCACACCAAGTTGCCGGTCAACTTGTTCCTTAGAGGCAACCCCTTACACGCAATTTACTTCCTCATGATCGCTTTTCGAAGCTCTTAATTCAACACACAATTAATAACGAAATTCTGTGGATTTCGCTTGCTCAGTGAAGATATCGTTGCTCGACAACAACCAAAAAAAACACTCTATCAAACTGCAGTTCACAGCCCAAGGCAGCACTCTTCACTTTAATTCAGAACAACCAGAGTTCCAGAAGGAAAAGAAATTCAAAATGCCCTCCACCCAGCTCTCGTTCTCCCTTCGCGTCTCCTCTGGCGTCAAGACCGTCCATCTCCTCGGCTCCTGGGACGGTTACACCGGACAGCTCCCTCTGTCCAAGGACAAGTCTTCATCCAAGTCTGGCTCCTGGAAAGGCACCTTCCGATTCCAAGAATCCACACTCGAGACCGGCCAGCGATACTGGTACTACTACATCATCGATGGATACCACATCGCCCACAACCCCGGTGTCGACTCAGTTGTTGAGCCCACTACTGGCCGCGAGCTGAACATTCTTGATGTGCCCTCAGACTCCCACAAGTCCTCCAAGTCCTCATCCAAGTCAAGCAGCAAGAGCTCTTCCCGCCACTCTTCCAAGGACTCCAAGTCATCCAAGTCTTCCTCATCGTCCAAGTCTTCCCACAAGTCGTCCCGTAGCAGCCGAAGCTCCTCCGACATCCCCAAGGGCCGCCCCCTGTCAATCTCCCAGATCCAGGCCCCCAAGCCAATGTCGCCTTATGCTACCCAGCACATCCTCAATGCTGATCTCTACGACGAGGACGAGATCGAGGCTCTCACTGCCCGCTTTGGTGCCGCCGAGATCGACGAGGACGCTGTCACCAACTTCAGCACGTCTCCCGTCTCCTCTTCCGGCTCCTCGCTGTCCTACCGCTCCGACAGCTCCTCTCCCTCATCATCGCTCTCAGGCTACAGCACACCCAACTCCGACTGCAGCACTTGCACTTGCGAACGCTACGGTATCACCCGCAAGGGCGAGCGTGTCAAGCTTGACTGTGGCGGTGCCCGCTGCGCCTATGGCGATGACAGCTCCGACTGCTCCAGCTCCGGCAGCGAGGATGAGGATTACGAAGAGCAGCCCGTCAGCCGCCGCCACGGCATGGTTGTCAGGTAAACGGTTAGTGGGATACCTCTTGATGACTTCTTTTTGGCGCTACGCTAAAAGAGAGATTCATTTGTTTTCTCCTTTTCTCTTCTCAGGGTCTATGATTATTGGCCACTGTGTGGCAGCTTCATGGATTGCCTGCCCCACGTTGTTACAAGTTATTGTGAAGATGTTTACCCTTTTTATCGTCATCACTTAATCTTTTACTCACCGCGCGCCGACTGGGCTTACCAAGCCGGTCTTGGTGCGTCTCGTCCCTCGAGCGCGCGTGTGCAACGATCGGGTCGCCCAGCGACCCTGATCGTACCTGCGAATCTGGATCCCAGGCGCCTGGGTGTTACCTCTTCCAAGGGGTGATACCTCTGTGTCCTGGCCAAGCCACTATCAGAAGTTGAGTCAGACTACGTCCTTGCCTCGCTTCTCATCGTCTCCCCTCGTATATCTGAAAACAACGGAGCAATCCCTACGGATTCCAGCTCCTGTCAAGTTTCGGAATTGGTGTTTGAATGTTACACGTGTTGAATATTCAGACACACTAGCCACTTGTTTGGTGCGGTGGAACGCCCAAGGCAGGAAATAGCGACAAGTGCCTTGAAAGATAGGCCTGCCTTTTTTCTTTTGTTTTGGGTAGACGACGATATGAATCTATCTATCTAGTATGAATGTCATGAATTAAATTGATTACATGAAAATGCCTGCCCACCGTGTAAATGTGACTTGATGGGAAATCCTGTAGCGTGCCTACCTACCAAGAGTACGACCTCTTCATGCAGGCGGCTAGGGGAGCTCGAGTTTTGCTTCGTAGACGGTCACAATACCCATGAGGTAGGATCTGCGTGAATAACAGTGGATCAATATTACAGCCGTAGCCAGTCTCGTCTCGCACTGCCCGACTCTCCCTAGAAGAGGGGGAGGGGCAAACACCACAGAATGCAAGAACACCCAACGCTCCTGCCTGCATTGACCTGACGACTATTCTGGGTCCGACAAAATCGCAAGTCAGTTCATTTGGCGTCATTGTACTCACTCTTTTCGTTTTGGCTGCTTGCTGCATCGTCACATCAATTCCTTTCCAAGCTGGCAGAATAGGACGAGGTGCAGGCTTCCCCACCTTCTAGCTCCCTACTTCTACACCGACTGTACGGAATTTCTTCGACCGAGCTGAGGGCAGTTGCGAAAATGGCAGAGGAAAACCAGCTCATTCTCCCCATCATTGATTCTCATATCCATCTCTACCGAGAGAAGGACCTTGAGAATGTCAACTGGTACAAGGCAGACGGCCCCCTAGGTGGCCCCCACTCAGTTGAGCAGTTCAAGGAAGCCGCCAAAACCTCCCCGTCGCTGCTGGGATTTGTGTTTGTCGAGACCGATTTCAAGTATGACCTTGAGGCGGGTGCCGCCGATGGCTCGGGGTGGGAGTTCCCCCTGCAGGAGGTCGAGCGACTGAAGCGTATCGCCCTGGGCCAGCCAGAGGATGGCGATGGCTCCTCCGCTGAGGACGCCAAGCTGTGTCTGGGTATCGTCCCATGGGCCCCGATCCCTAGCGGTCCAGAGGTCTTGGAGAGATATATCGACCGTGTCAAGGAGGTCGCTGGGGACGCTTGGCCCAAGATCAAGGGCTTCCGTTACCTGCTGCAGGACAAGCCACATGGCACCATGCTGGAGGAGAACTTCGTTGAGGGTCTGAAGCTGCTGGGTCGCAAGGGTCTTGTCTTCGAGGTTGGCGTTGATCATCATCGTCGCGGAAAGAAGCAGCTTGACGAATTGGTGGCCCTCATTGAGAAAATACATGACGGCGTGCCTGAGGAGGAGAGAGTCACCCTCGTTATCAGTATGTTGCAGCCCACCTCTTCTACACATTCTCTCCTAACCCTGTTAAAACATCCCCCTCTTTTCGTCTTTGGAAATGTACTGACTTGAACATAAAGACCATCTCTGCAAGCCAGACCTTACCATCTATAACACCACTTCAGACCCCGCCTTCCACGCCTGGCGTACCGCCATGTACACCCTCAGCAGCTGCTCAAAGCTGTACATGAAGCTGTCCGGTGGATTCTCCGAGATGCTTGAGAGTCTCAAGAACCAGAGCGCCTCCCACATCTTCCAATCGACATTCGGTTGGCTGGGCATCATCCTGGCCACCTTCGGGCCAAACCGTATCATGTTTGGCAGCGACTGGCCCGTCTGCACAGTTGGCATTGAGGACGCCTGGGCCAGGTGGAGAGATATTGTTGAAAAGATGTGCTGGATGGCAACGTTGAGCGACGAAGACAGAGCCATGATTTTCGGAGGCACGGCGAAGAAGGCGTACGGACTGTAAAAAAGAATTGTATTGACCATGCCTGCCATTACCCAGCCGCTATAAATGGGGAGAATTGTTCCATCTGGACGGGCAAAGATATATGAAACTGGGGGTGAAAGGGTCGCAGGTTGCCTGTGAGATATCACCAATCTAAATATTCGGTAAAGGGCAACAAGTTTTTTCGCATTTGCTTGCAGTACATTCAATTAATCAAGGCATTTCTATGCTACAGCCTGAAACTTCCAAGACAGCTAGTTCATCATTAATCCAACGCCCTTTTTCCATGCGATTCGCCCAAATATCATCCAACCAATCAGTCCGCTCAAGAGAGCGCGGCTACTAATTCAAAGACCAGAATGGGAAGAGAAACAAATGGCTCATTAATCTTATCCTTCAAAGCGACCCATCCAATAACAGAAAGGAGGGTGTCACTCGTCGTCAAATCGTTCATCATTTCCTGCCCCTATCACCCTTACTCGGCTCCCCGGCCTCTATAGCTTCCCATCTTCTCGATCGAGCTCATGATACCACTTCGCGCGACTCCTCCAGGTCTTGGCAGTCCTCCTGCGCTCTTGGTCCTCTCGTGGGGTGCCCTGGAGACGGTACCAGGAGCCCGCAGGCCAGAGGCGCGGTTCCCGGGCGTTGCCCTGGGGGTCTTGGCTGGAGGAGCTTCAGCATGATGCTGCTGATAACGCTGCGGTGCGGGTGTGCGCTGGGTCCTTTGCATCTGGGGCTGGGCGTAGGGCTGGGGAGCCGGCTTCGATGGGGACTTCGGAGGTGGTGCGGACGATGATGAACCAACGAAGCTTTGCATGTTCATCATCTCCTCGGCCAGCTGGACCAGCTCACCCTTCTCAATGCGCTCCTGCTCCAGCATACCCCGCAGCTCCTCATTGTCCTTTTGTACGGTCTTGACAACAGCCTCGAGACGTTGGACATCTGCGTTGAGCTCCTTCATGGCAGTGCTATCCTTGACGGCCTGGGACTTGAGCTCCTCGGCCTCCATGATCGTGCAATTGGGGTCCATCTTGGCCGCGGTGTTGTCACGCTCGGCACGTAGCCTCTTGTTATCCCTGTTGACGTCTTCAATGCGGGACTCGAGCTCCTTAATCTTCTTCTGCCACCTGGATTCGTACGACTTCTTGAGGGCAGCAACTTTGGTCTCGTGCTTGCTCTTGTACAGGCCGTGGAGCTCCCGAGCGACCCGCTCAACGGCCACCTCTATCTCGTGATTACTAGTGGCTGGTCCCTTTGGCTTGTCGGGGGAAGACGCCGCCGACGACTTGTCCGAGTCTCGTCCCGCGCGCATCCCCGCCATCTTGCTCTCTGCTTCCTGGTGCAACATCTCGGCGGCTTCGCGACGCTTCTCGCTCTCCTCGAGCTTCTGGTCTAGCTCCTCCTTCTCCTGTTGACCCTTGGCAATCTCCTCCTTGACTTTGCGAAGCACATTCTCCATCTCGCGACCACGGCTCTCCCAGTCTTGTAGCTCTTCGGTAAGCTGATCCTTGGCGATCTGCTCCTCGCGTAGTTTCTCGAGAGATTGGCCAACGCGCTTCTCGGCATCGCCAACTGCTGTCTTGAGAGAGTTGACCTCGGCCTCTTTGCCGCTCAGGCTCGCCTTCAGGGAGCTGATCTCGGACAGGAAGTTGGACTTGAGCGTTTCGAGCTCTCTGGGCGTGATGGAGGGGACGCTGCGAGGGGTTGGCATCGGGGGAATATCAAAATCGATGAGGTTGCCCAGCTGGCGGCTAGGTGTGGCCGAAACCGCAGGCGAGTGGCGCGAGGTGAGGAAGTTTCGCCTTGTGGGAGACTTCTGGGGGTTTCTCAATTGCTCAGTGAAATCCATAAGCAGGTTGGCCGTGCTGTTCTCCAGATCTATTCTAGGGCTCGGGCGAGGTTTCTCTGAAGGGGATTGCTGGGCTCGTGATGACAGACCGCCGGCTCTGGCAGGGCTGTAATTGATGTTCCCGAGTGTCGTCGGGACAGCAGAGAAGGCACTGAATGTGCTGATCATCGTGTCGTCCGGGCCAGCCGTTTCGTCGTGTGCATCCAGTGCTAAAGTGTCGGCGCCTTCGAGCATGCTGAGGTCGTCTTCGAAAATCTCAATGGCCTTCTTCAGGCCTGCATTCTCCTTCATCGCGTCGTCAAGGGTCATCGTCCGGGGCTCAGGCACCGCCTCTTGCACCTCTGTGAGCGGATTGCTGACCTTAACAGGAAACCTCTTCACCGGTGATCCCTTGCGCGGGCTTCGAGACAGCGATGGAGAGCTCAAAGCTGAGCCCTCGCTGCCCTGGCTTGTTATTCTCTGTTCAGATAAAATCTTCAAGGGAGACAGCTCCACGCCTGAACGAACGCGAGTATGACGAGACTTGGAGGGCGAGACGTTTTCCTGGTCATCGACGGATTTCCGCTTCACCGCTGATCCAGATGGAGAAGGACTTGCCGAATTCTGGTCCACGGTAGCGGTCAATGTGACAGCTTCAACATTGTATTGATCCGCTTGCTGGGGAGAGAGCGGCATTCCTCGGTTGAGGACTGAGTCCTGAGTGGGTGAAAGTGGTGTACTCATTGCACGTATCGTAGACGGACCATCAACGGTAGTAGAAATAACAGTCCTGAATATGTATCGATGAGTTCAGAGACCGGTGAAGCATCCAAATGTTAGCGCGGAGCAGGTATTAGTTCTCTTGCTGCAGTGGGTCGAACCCCCGGATCATGTCATAGCTCATTGTTTATTTGTTGGCCGGACAACAGCCAAATGTCTCACGTGATTATGTGGAGGTCTTGTTCTGATACAGACTCGTGAGACGAGAACCCTTGCACGGTAATATCCTTTGGCTTATTAGTTATTTTCCCGAAAATTGGGAATGCTCCGTAGTGATTATCAGTTGCCCAGGAACACCATTCATTCCTTGTATGCGGGATTCATGCAGCATTTTGGTCGGGATGTCACGTGCTGCTCGCCGGTTGACTCAACGCGATCTCACGTCTCTCGATATCCACAGACACGGTAGCACTAAGGCAAGGCAGCGACATCCAATGGGCTGTCTCTGATTTGAAGATACAAAGCTGCATGGGACCGTGAATTCAAGATAATCTAGATCAGAAACCCCAAGTGATTTTCTACCTTTCAACCTCAAATCCAGTTAAATTCCTGATATGAGAACTTGACTACCTGCTTGAACGAAGTGATTTCTTGCTAAAATCAGCTTTCAGCATGGCAGGCACAGAATTCACCATCGATGAGCCCCTCATCGCCAAAGTAACAGACTACATCAAAGAATACATGTCCAACTACGACCCATCCCACGACTTCAGCCACATCCAGCGAGTCGTCAGCCTCGCCCGCCGCATCCAGGCCACGGAACCATCCACCTCCCTCCCAATCGTCACCCTCTGCGCACTCCTCCACGACGTGGGCGATAGAAAGTACCTGAAGCCCGGCGAGGACGCCACCCGCATGGTCAGGGACCTCCTCGTCTCCCACGGCGTCCCCGCCCCCCTCGCGGACAAGATCCAGACCATCTGCCTCGGCGTCAGCTACTCCAGCGAGGTCAAGGATCCCGCGCGGGTCGTGGAGCTCATCAAGCTACACCCGGAGCTGGCCGTCGTGCAGGACGCGGACCGGCTCGACGCGATCGGGGCCGTCGGGATCGGCAGGTGCTTCACGTTCGGGGGCGCCAAGAACCGGGCCATGGACAACTCGATAGACCACTTCGCGGAGAAGCTGGTCAAGCTTGAGGGGATGATGAAGACGGAGATGGGGAGGAGGATGGCGCGGGAGCGGACGGCGAGGATTGAGCAGATGCAGGAATGGTGGCGTTTGGAGATGGAGGATTCTGCTTGACGTGCCAGAACGTAGTCAGGTTCATTCCACTTTTGGTAATACATACATTACCATACTTCTCTACGGGATGCTAGTCTTCAGCATCTCTTGACGTTTGATGAGGATAAGGTCTTGGGACGAATATATGTTAAAACCCAACCCTACAACTTGGGTGTGGCTATTTGGTTTCTATTTATACAGACGAGGATGGAGTTACTACAGTTCACTCAATAGAAGGAATTTCTCTCCAAGGTGAGTACAACAACCTCTAGGGTCCGGCCTTTGATCTTCCCTTTATTCGGGGCATTTCAGCCCAGCTTTGAGCACAATCAATCACTAGGGTGTAAAGGTCCTCCATTCTCCTCCTACTGACTTCTCATGAAGAAAGCAAAAGAACCTTCCAGCATGCCTCGATTTCTACTTTCGCCTTGGGGGCATTTCCCATAAGTTGGCAGTTACCACTATGGCACGATGCTTTTCTCCTCACAGCTTGCAAGCAATGTGGCCATGTTCAGTTTCGTACCCTTAGCATTTTTATAGGCACGGTTTCTCTGCAACTAGCCTCCTCGCAGGCCAGTATATGGTAAGGAATAGCATCCTGTTGATGGAAGAAGAGAGTAACGAAACTATTTCTACGTCATTAGTGTCGCTTGCTTTTGGCATAGCCTGTCGGATCAATGGCAGGGCTTATCCGCTCTTGAGTCTTCTAAACGTGAATAGTTACCGGGCTAGATTGGGAGGATTCACGACGATCGATCCAAGTCTGAATTGTCACCGAGATTGTTGTTCTGTTTTCCTCGTTGAATGACCGGCAAGAGGCTGGCTCATTCCCCACGCATCACTATTAGAGTCTGACCATCCTCATACCTTTAGCTATCAAGTTCTATCCAAAACGAGAGAACATCTGATATTGGTCATTTTGATGGCGTGAAGCTTACAAGTCCCGCACGAAGATGAAGTGTATAACTACCGGCGCGATGATCCACCAGAGCATGGGACAGGCCAGGATCGCGTATCGTCAATCTGACATGTATTTACCTACATGCAATCAAACTTGCCCAATGAGGGTTTACTGCTTACTCTCAGCATGGCCTGCCATGTTAACGGCGCAGCTCTGTTGGGTGAGACGGTTTGTGGAACTGGGTCAATGGTAGTTGGATCCCTGCCGCTTTGCGCGACTCATATGCGAACCTTGACGGTTCAATAAGTCCACGGCTCAGGGGAGGACTAAGTACACTATCCTAAAGTACATCTAGCATCTACATTGCAAAAGACCTCATATTATTGTTGCACCTTTTCCCTCTCGTTTTATCTAGTTCACTGTCCGGCGCTCAGATGATCGCCGTTGTCACTCCCTCGCTTACTCACAAGACCTCCCTCTCACTCACTCACGACTCATCGCACCCAGAATGAACCCCCTACCTTCAGAAATCCTCATCCACATCCTTGACTACCTACCACCATCCAGCCACAAAGATGCACGCCTCGTATGCCGCAGCTTCAACGGCATCGTTTCCAGGTCGCAGTTCACCCTCCTAGCATCCTTCCTCGACCCCGAGGTCTCCACCGCGACGTGCGAGCTCATCGCCAGGGACCTCACCCGGAGGCCATCGTCCATCTGGTCCCCGCGATGCTCCGTCCCCGCCAAGCTGCCCATCCCAGAGAGCTTCATCCTCGCCCTCCATGTCGGGTTGACAGGGGGTCGTTCGTGGATCGGCGTCGGGTCGGGCAAGATGGTCGACGTGAACCCACACGGGTTGTCACGCAGGTTAAATAGGCCGGACGTCACAGAGGACAACGTCCGGCAGGCGCTGTTCCGGTACGCACTCTACCTGAGCTACACGCATCATGAGAAGGAGGATCAGTCCTCCTTCTCTTGGGTCCTGGACATCAAATTCTGGGCATGATTTCGAATCTGTTTTGGGGAGTTTTCTGGCGCCACATATATATCGATGTTGGTTGAATTTATTGCTCCGTTTTGAGCTAAGGAATGTACATCTATATATCATAATTCCCTCCCGTAATATATCCGTCATGAGTCCCCTGAATAAGACATTAAAGTTAAAGTGTAAAGTAAGTTCCGTTTCCAATGATGGTTAAGAAGTGATGAAAACTCCAGTTCCCCGTGTAAAAGGTTATGTGAAAATGCAACCCAAATGTCCCGCTGAAGTTTTCAAAGGAGTGTTCCTGTGTGTGTGTGTGTGTATATAATGCATCGCTATCCCAGATGCCCCTTGCTGAAAGTCAAGTTCCGAAGTAATAAGACGCCGGTGTAAAAGAAAAGCAATATCCCAAGAAAATGTAAACCCGTTCCTCATTAATAGATCAGTGTCTTTTCGTGAAGGCATGATGTAGTTGGCTACAGCACGTAGGCAGCGGCGAGCCCGGCGGCGGCAAGGATGAACTGAGCCTTATTCGTCATGGCTCCCGAGGTGGGAAGGGTATTAGCAGACGTTGTCGTAGGTCCTACGGGGACACGGAACGTAGGGCTGCCGTTGTTGGTGTTGTCGTTGTTGTTTCCGCCGACATGAGCGGGGTTGTGTGTGGGGTGGGGGAACGATGAGAAGCCGGTTCCAGTGCCAATGGCAGTTCCGGGGAGAGGGCCGGTAGTGCCGTTGGTTTGTGGGAAGAAAGGTCCGTTACCACACTTGAAGCCGACGCAAACGACGGAGCTAGAAGAAGCGGGAGGGTTGGGGACAGGTACGCTGGGGTTGCCTCCCGGGTTGACGGTCGTTGGGACAGTGACAATAGTGGTCAACGTCGAGTTCTGGTAGGGGTGAGGCTGGTGAGGCGGGCGGGTGGTTGTGGGCACAGCTTCGGTGAAAGTGGGAGAGCAGCCGGGGAGGGTAAAGGGCTTGTCGGCGTGGACAACACACTATGAGATTTTGTTAGCTGGATATTGTCCATAGAGAGAACAAAAACTCGGGCGAGGCCTCCAACATACGTTCTTGACACAGGCAGCATCACCAGCATCGGCTGAGCTCTGGTAGCATGATGCAGGGCCACCGATAGGTGCATAGCCAGCTAGGTTGTTGGAGCACCGTCCAGCCTTTCCAACACCGTTTCCATCACAGCGTAAGATGATATCACCACCCAGACAGAAGTTGGCGCTCGGCTTGGTGCAGTTGAAGATGTTTCCGGCCTCGGCTACTGCCAGGAGGCAACTGAGGAGGATGGCTGAAGTCTTCATCGCTTCAGAGATCGGTTGTGATAGTCGGTGTCCAAACGAATGAGTACCAAACAACTTATTAAGATTTCCAACTCTTTACAATAGCGAGTGAATAGAGTCCGATACAAGCGATTGTGTGATTATACGTATGAGTGTAGCAACCAGGAGGGAGTGCTGCCTGGGTGGTCTGCCTCACTTATATACAGAAGGCGAGAGATACGGGAAGAGCAAGACTCCCGGCTTCATTGGGCATGGTATCAACCCACGAGCGCAGATGGGGACTCGGATTGCAACCGAGCCACGCCATGGAGGTGCCCATCTAGTGGGCATGGCCATGACTCCCCGCCAGTGACCCAGGTATTGGATATTGGTACCAGATACGAGGTTCTCAGTACGGGCACGCTTGGCGATCGTATTGAGGCCTGCCGGGTGCCGGGTACCAGTGGCGGGCCACGCTCATGGCATGCACAGCAATAGTAGCATAATCAGCTGCGGCTATGACAGATGGTCAGGGCCATGGGGTGGTGTGCTGGTTGCGGCTAGCTGGAGGCTCGGGATGGGATGGTTGGCCGGTAGACTGGGACGATTTGAGGGTCCGCGGGATGTGGAACAGAGAGAGACACTCTCGTAATGCTTCACCTAGCCCGACGTAACGTCACAGGGCGGGCGGGCTTTGCCTTCTGCGTGCTTCGCTTCCCGCCCTACGGACAGGGTCTCGTGCCGCTAAGAACTGCTGCGCACTCGGATTCTGACAAGCTTCGACGCGAAAAAAAAAACTTGTCCATGCCATTCAGGCAGCCCATCGGCCATTCCACGGCCGTCGCCGTTAGTTCGGTCGCTGTGGCTTGATCGCTATATTTGGACGCTGTAAGCGTCGGGTCCGCGTCACTTGACTGGCTGACAGCGCTGTACGAGGTGCTGCAAATCGTGGTAGCTCCCGACCGTTGGGCCGGTTCACCCGCCATCGTCTCTCGTCCCACCGCTTCTGCTCATTCATTCTTCGGCCTCGTTCGGACTCTCTCTAACCCCCAGACAAGCCACATTTCGATTTTGTTCTATTTCTCGAACATGTCTCTGCGGGCCTTCCGAGTCTGCCCCGCCGAGCAAAAGACTTGACGCCGCCGGTTTATTTAATTTTCTTGCTTCCCACCCCGAGGCCAAAGGATAACGTCATATCGAAAAATAGAAACACGCACTTGTGGCTTGAGGCCCCAGATGGTGTGGCTGGATGCGCTCTGCAATGTACCAGGTACATGGTCAACTTCTACCGCTGGAGCCTCTGATAACAATGCGCTGCACATTCTAGACTGCACACTTGATTTGCAAGCTAGTCAAATAGTCTGAACCTTGGCGGAGTGCGCCTTAGATATGGGAGTCTAACAACGCAGTGGGCGGAACAACGCTTGACTAACTGTCTGCCTTGCCTCAGAAAGCTTGAACGTCCACAGGCAGCAGAATTCGTTTAGCCTTATCTATTCCACCATGTTCTTTCCTCGCCCGGAAAAGCGACAGTCTAAAACCTGTTCTCAGCTGCGGTATTTCGCATACATTGACTCAGACCTCACGAAGCGGCACGCCTGCACCGCCTCCACAAGCAATCCGGGACTTCCCACAGTCGGTGAGAGGGATCCGAGCATGCTTCCGGCGCACTGGAGGCCGGTTTAGCATCGGGCCTCCGACTTTTTGCAGGCATCAAGCACAGAAAGCGTCTTTATCTCATCGTGATTAAGCAGGAAGATTATGCATTGCCATCAACTATTGACTGCTCTGGGTCCACAAGAGTGAGAGCCGCCCAACCTCATAGGGCAGCGGTTCTGCCTCGCTTCCAGCTTTCCGGATCGTATCCCGCACCTGCTATCTGCACAGTGGGACTCATCAACGGACCACTCTGATCCTGTCTGATTATTCTTTCTCGCCCTTGTCATCAATAAGCAGGCGTCCCGATGGGTCACCAGCCCTATCTCCCAGCCATTTCCTCGTATCCCGCCTGGTGGTGGGCAGGCGGCTAACCGTTGTTGGACAGCATCCAAACCCCCACCATCCCTCTTCTGAATGCCAACGTCGAAAGAGGACGAAGAAGATTGATAGCTTCGACATTAGACGGACCTCAATTGGTCCATGTTCGGAACATCTGTCACACTAATTTTTTGGCCAGCAGATTCTGCAGCTCCACAACGTTGTCCTGCAAATCCACCTCGACGCGGTGAGCATTGTTACCTTCGGGCTTGGATGGACACCCCTTCGCACAGAGCCTGCTCATGCCCAGACTCTTCTCATGCAGAGGTGCGAATTCATCCCATCCATTGAACGCGGGGTTCCTAGAGTTCCCAGTCGTTTTGACGCCAAGCCTGTCGCTCGGAACGAGGTGGTCCCGGATCGTCTCTTCGTCCCCGGTCTTGGTCTCGTTCACGAACTTGATTTCTCTATAATAGAGCAGATCAGGCCTCGTAGGGTTCCAGGGTTTGTCCACTGACTCAGAGTCGGTGGCCCTTAGCTCGTACGTCTGTCTCATCTCGCCAAACCCGTAAGAATGCTTCTTGTCCTGAGAAAACTTTGCCTGGCCGTCGCGGACTGCTCGCAGGTGTGTGCCAGACACCCTCTTGTCCCTCAGCCGCTCGAGGAATGGCTCAATGCCAGTGGCGAATGGCGTAACACCCATGTTTGTGAGTTCCATCTCTTGCCTTAGTCTTGCTAGGACAGTGAGGGTGGCATTGGTGTCAGGGTCGGGCGACTTGTACCAGTAAGTCGTCGATACAGGGTACCTGAACCCCGTGGAGAGACCGTAACTCGCATCGTACTTGGAGAGGCCGTACCCGGAGTAGCCTGCATCAACATCGTGCCAGGCCCCCGACTGCTTCATGTAGCCGTTATTGAACATGTGTAGCTCTTGCTTCCACACAACAGTAATATCCCCTTCAACAGGCAACCGTATCTGGCTCCTGACCTCGAAAGACCGAGAGATGGTCTGATTATAGATCAGTTCGGTTGGGTCTGGCTTGCCCACTTCGAGTTTGTAGAGAACATCGCTGATATTTGTCTTCGGCTCCTCTCCTACCATAACCCTCATCCCGGGTGCCCCTTCGCGCCATCCAAAAATTTTCCCAGAGAGAATCCAATGACCCTTGACTTGAGTCAGCGCCCCGTTGGGATGCTTGGCGTCGTCGATCGCCTGGACCTCCATGCTGACCGTGTGCTCCTCTCCATCACATAATATACCGAGCCAGGGCGTAATATCAACCTCGTATTCCCTCATATCAAAAGCCTGGAGACCGACCAGAGGGCGATGCAATGGCGGAGCGATGCCACCAGTGAAGATGACAGGGAATGGCCAGGCAAGCCCTGCCAACTTCCCGTCGATGAACACTCGAACCTCGCGGAAGCTGCTACCGCCGGGGAGTCTGCCATTGAAATACCCCGCCAGGCTCTCGGGGAGGTTGGACCACCAAAACTCCTCTTCTGCCTGGCCGGTCGCCGCGATAGTGAGTATGGCCCTTTTGGTATCGCTCGGGAGCTTGACGGTGGCAACCGCCTTATCGCCAGGATACACGAAGGCACTGGATTCATTTTTGTGGCCCTTGCCGGCCGACACTGGAAGGATGAAATGGGCAGAACCGGGGTGCGGTCCATTGACCTCTGTGTCGTGGAAGTGAAGGGTGATGTCGACATTGAATACCCCGGTGTATTTCTCGTTGACCAGATTTCCAAGGTCAAATATCAGAGTGTTGTTCTGCATCCACAGCGGCATGAACGCCGTCACGTCCTTGGTGTAGTGCCATACAATGCCTGGGTTCTCAATGGGTTCGGCCGTCGATGTTCTGAAGATCTCAACATCGCCAAGCCACATTGTCGCCAGGCGGTCGAACTGGTGTCCCTGGCAGGTAACTGTCATGTTTAGGTATACCCTCGGGAACGAGCTTGGAGGTGGGGTATACGGCGCTATCCAGGTTGTGAGTCCTCCTGAGCAATCGATATTTGTACCGGAGTGGTGAAACTTACCAACATGAGGACGGCCGTAACTGTTCCCAAAGGAAGCATTCATCAATCTAAAGGAGTATGAGCTTTGGGGGGCATGCCTCTCTATCAGCTCGCTATTCCTGGCCAACCCATCCTCCGTGAGGACCGGGTGTGAGACTTGAAGACATTCGAGTGGTTCGCGTCTGGTTAGATAGATGTGACCATCATCCGGACCCAGATTCAAGTTTGCCTCAATATTGTCGTCACCATAGCTCCCGGCTATTCCTGCTCTATGTGCATATGAGAATGCCGCGAGGAGCACAACAACGACGGAATGCCACTTGAGCATTGTGAGCGACTCAGTGGAGCACAAGAAACCAACTTAAGACTATGGGCTTCTTGGATGCTCGTCAAATAAGGAATACATACAGGATGAATGGGATCGTCAGGGTTTATCTCTATGAGATATTTTCTCCAGGTCCAGAAGAAAGTCGATTAAGCCAACAACTCAAATCTAGGCTGGCAGCAGGAACCACCGCGCGGCGCATCCCAGCCGGGGCGCCGGCAGGAACGGTAGCGATACGAGCACTGGATTTTAGATTGAATTTGGCAACTGAGCTCGGTGCTTCTCCTAGCGCTAGCAACAATGGTGGAAGGATTGCGCAGGTCGTTAGAATGAGGTTGAGGTATGAGGCAACCTCAGGGATGGACGTCCCATCATTACTCATGCCCTCTACCTGCCTACCCTACAGTCGCATATTGAAACACCATTCATTCACCTTGTATGATTGATCTCAGTCTTGTGCCTTTGCTATGACAATGCAAGTAATACTACTTTTGAAAGCTGGACTAAGATAAAATGCGGTGGGATGAAAAGAAAGATGCGAGGAACACGCCCTGATACCAGGGCATGGAAAAGTTTGCCAAGAATTTTCCTGTGTGAACCAAGCTACGTGTTTGAATGGACACGAGCTGACCGAGGCTTTGAGCTTACTTGTCGAGTATTGCATCCTGTGCCATTAGGCTAGTTTCTAACTATTACGTATGGTGTGATTATCCACGGTGACCTTGAGGGCTGCACCTCGAATCATGCAGGAAGTGTATTTCTAAACGTCCGTCTCTTGCCCCTCTCCAATGCCAGCCCAACACGTTGTTCGATCACCACGGAGGTACTGTAGCATCACCATTGGCAAAAATTCCCCTTCTAGGAGATCCAGATGTCAACAGTATGAGATCTGATCAGATAAGCTTGCGAGCATGCCCGCGAAAACACCACCTACCTCATGCTATAGCCCCCCTTGCCTCATCGTGTAGGCAGCTATATGGGACGGCTCGAGAATTGTGTTGCACTTAGTTGTCCAGTGGCTTTCAGACAATGGATGGATGGATATGGGGTCATTATGCCCGACAACTCCTTTCCACCTCGGCTCACATTGGTTGAAGGTATTGTCGGTGAAGGGGACCACTTTTGCCAGGCAGTCTATTAAATACGTTACTGCACGTATCGTTGATAGTAAGTAAATGCTTGTTTCTTGCTATGCGCTGGCCCCGCCCCTCGCAACCGACGTGCGGCTTGTCGAGTTCTGTCTGCTCGCGGGGTGAGTAGTGTCTTAAGTCTCTTGTCTGAGATGTCCCGTCTCGTATGTCCGTGGGGCCGGCTGGACGAATTGGGCTTCAAGCCACCGCTCTGGGCTTCGCATCAACACGATTGGGAGAATGGTTGGTGGTTGGCCCCCGGTTTGGCTGCAGATTACAGCTTGACATGGAACGCAAGGATGCCGAGTACGGCAGTGTGCAGGACAACACACGACAGATTCTTGGACAAGACTCACTCGACGGGAAGTTGACATCCCATGTCTGGGTTCGGAAAAGGGACACGATCGGTTATAACCTCCGCTGGGGAGATCGAAATTCCCTAATGAGGAACCAGGCCATGCAGAATGATCAGATGCGAATTCGCACAATCGTTCGACGTGGCTGGCACGCATAAAGGACGGCTGCTGATATAGGATCATTCCATGTTATGCGTACTCAGTGTTATTGCAGGTCCTGAGTGATAATCGCCTCCATCTCATTGTTAATCCGTAGCGTGGCCCCCTGTAAGTGCATGGTGTGACCCAGGCGTCCGAATCTATCGCCCAGCCACCGGAATTTGCAAAGAGGACTGTTCCTTGTCGGCACCTACATGTGTTCCTCCTCAAAAGGATCGCAGGCTAATTTTGATTCGACGTCAGCCAGCTGCAGCGCGGTGGGGAGCAGGCACCATCCTGTTTCTTCTCCCACCAATGTGCATGTAGGTTCGTCGTAAACGCTGCGCAAGCTCTTCCTGAAGCGGGTTCCTTTCCACGCCCTTGCTGCTGAAAATTTTTTCTTTCTTTCTTTTGGAGCGGCCACTGCTTATTAGGGGGGTAAGAAATGGGTGATATCGGGCTTGGAGGCGCACGCTTCATCGATCGACCTTCATGAAACGATCTTGTAGGACTTGGGCATTCAATTAGTTTTAATGTTAGAGATTCCCTGCCCGAGAGGGTCTTCTCCTGCGCAATGGCCACCAGATGCGCACTTCCCTTGAGCACATTCAAGTGTAGGAAGCACTTTTACAACTTAGCATGGACGAGTTTCTTTTTGTGCGGCTGATGGGGGGGAGAGAAGCGGGCTCCAATGAGAAACCTCAGCCTTCTATTATGCCCGACGGCCGCGGGAAGCGTGAGCGGAGGCACGTCGATACCTTACGATGTACTTGTGTGTCTTCACGATACTTGCTAGTACCTGAGCCTCCGAGCAAAATGCACGAAGCATTGACCCCGTCCGCAGATGAGGTAATTGTACGTAGGCATCTGCTGTGTAGGGGCACACGTCTCGGGGCAAAGATCTTCGCCCTCTCCGAGCGACTGGATGGATGTACATTTACCCTTCTCGAAGGAATCTTAGCTAGGGACCGGCCTGGGACTCACTTAGCGAGAGCAACGGGAGCTACGGGACGCATGGCGGGAGCGAACCCTGGAAAGGATACACAATGACATCTTTATAGCATATGCACATGCCGCCGATATGGATTTGTTACACATCAAATTGGCAGGTCGGAGGAGCCTACACGCATTTATCTATCAAGAAAACGGGGGGATCGTGAATCTTGGAAAGCACCTCCCACACGTGATTATTGGCCCCTAATTAGAGCAGTGTGTTGCTACTACCTTCCCTCCATGCACATTCGACATTTAGGTACACACACCTCTGGGTACTAGTAGATATCGTGCCTTAGGACTGACGTACATACACGAGCGCAGCATTGTCGCAAGTGGCGGCGGCATCTGGCCAGTCGAATAGAGATGTGTTACGTTTTGAGAGCCAGCTGCAGGCCTGGATCGGAGACTTGAAACTGGGCAGGTTGCAGGTTTGGACGAGTCGCAACAGAGCCATGCTCGAATGGAGAGCGAGATTGTGGTCGATTAAAACCAAATCCATCAGGTACCTGGCCGCCTACCCAAAGTACTCGTACTCGAAGGTCTCGCCCGCCATCATTGGCTGCATCAGCGCATGTTGCGTGCTTCTACCCCCGCCCCCAATCAACCAAGCAGGGCACGGCTCCCCATTTGCGTCAGCCGCCCACCTCTTTTTTCTTCTCGTCGCCCTCCTCCCTGGTGCAAGTCCCAACCGCTGCTCGCCATGATGCCAGCTGACTCGTCCAGCAAGGGAAGGAAAAGAGGGTCCAGCTGCGAGTTGGCTGTAGGTTGGAGCATTTGGGCATGTCACCCAGCGGCGACTACAAGGGACGGTAGGCCTACCTCTACCTCAACCGGCCACCAGCTACTTCCCACTACTTGGACGGACCGCTGGCTGACGGATGGATCCTTCTTCACCAACCTCCTCCCCCCACCAGCCAATCCCCTCCGTTTGCACCTGTTTCCTTCATGTCGCTGAGCCTGTCTTGGTTGCTGACCTGTCCGCTTGATTCCCTCATTGGCCTCCGCCGTCTTCTGTCTAAACGTTTCGAAATTGACCGAGTCTGGGCGACTCCATTTTTGTGCCACCAAAGCGCAGGCGCTGCGCTCTGTCTCGCGTCGTCCTGAATCTTCCATCCCTTCCAATTCCCCTCTGGGTCCTGCACAGGCCCTGCTCCATCGCTGCACCGGCCTTCTGGGCATCCGCTATACGCACTAGAGTTTAGGTGGCTTCAATGCTTGTCGGGTGGTTCGCTCTCCGCTCTGCTCACTAACCTTTCACGACTCCGTCACTAAGTCAGCGATCGCCAACCAAACCTACTCCATCCATCCACAGTTGGCATCGATCGATCTGTCTTGCTCAGTGGACTCGCTTTGCGACGCTTCCTGCAGCAGCATCGAATAGTCCAGAACAGCTGCCCACTGGCCTATCCGGCATCACCCTCCGTATTCTTTGCTGTTGCTCAACGCCTTAGCTACCCTCCTATAACATTCAGCCACCGCAGCAACAGCTGGCATCTGCCCTGCATGCCAGTTTGCCTCGATTGAACCACGTCCCTGCGCAGCACTTTTCCTGCATCCACCTAACCAGAATGCGGAAAGCGACCTCCTACGCCCACGTCAACTCCTAGCAGTGGATGGAGAGCCTGGTTCACGTTGTATACAGCCCAGCATGCTCGCTCCGTCTCCTATCCCTCCAACGACCATGGCCGAACCTGTCGCAATCCACACGGGCGCGACTGGATCGAGTGGCTCTGGTCAGCGTCAATTTAAGAAACACAAGGTCTTACCCCGACCACCTAGTCTCCGCGCCAACGACCTCGACGCCTCGCCACCATCCAGACCTGTCTCAGAAATAGTCATTGACACTGATGTTCCTGCGATCAATTTTGATCCCCCTAGCCCACCGACATTGAAGCGCCAGTCGAAAAGGATACCGACTGGCCCAGAGTTGCCGCCCACACCTCCTGCCCACTCTCGCACCTCCTCCAGCAGCCATTCTGCTGCACCCTCCAGTCCCACGATTTCGGGCTCGATGCTCCAGGACTCGCCCGACATCGTCCCTGCCATATCTCCGGCAACACCGCCTGACCAACGTAGTCCTCCAACTCCTGATGTGACCCCCCCGCAGCCAGCCAATCGCCCAAAAGCTCTCCGCCCTGCTCCTCTCGCTCGTGGCGCTTCTGGTACCACCACCACTGACTCTCGCACAGAGTCTTTCACAACTGCCCGGGAAGAGCTGCTATCTTCAGAGGAAGACGATAATCCATCGACCGTACGACCATCCAGGCGGACATCTCAGGCCACGGTTCGAAAGGAATCTGTGCCGCTGGCTGGCCAAGTTCCAGATCCCAAAGCTCTGGACAGAGCGCTGTCTCAATTGTCACCTTCAAAACGATACAAGAATTCGCCAAAGGCAAAGCGCCCGGAAGCCAACCAGGACAGCCGTCCCAGGAATGCTTCCGGGTCCAGGGAGGTGGAAGCTATGGATCGGTCCGTGACTGTGAAGTTGAAACCGGCACCAGCGCCTCAATCTCGACGTCGAGGTTACAGAAGAGACGTCATCGAGGATGTCGATGACACGATTATACCGAGCAGTGCCATTCAAGCCGTCCGGCAGTTGTCACTATCGGAGAAGAATCACCCTCATTCACGCCCATCCTCCTCGCCCCATAGCCGTCGCGATCAGCAACGCAGAGCTACGAACCCCACTGCCGTAGAAAATGAAGCTCCTTTGAAGAAAAGGCCGTCATCTGGGAAGCCCCCGAGGTCCGCCTCCTCGAGCGTAGTTGATGCCTTGCTCGCTGAAGGACAGACTCAAGGGCGGAAAACTCTCCGGCATGTACGAAAGCAGCCTGCTTTGCGAGATCTCTCCGGGCAATATTCCGAACGAGCCTCCTCTTCCACCGAGTTGAACTTACTTGCTCAACCCGATATTCAGCCGAGGGGCAGGCCTGGACGTGGGCGAGATCGCATCGAGAGCTTCGTATCAGTTAGCACTGTCAACTCGGTGGGCAGTCGAAAGGCTAGACGAGACGTGTTGAAGAATGGAGGAATACCCGTGATTGTGGTACCTGATCGGCGATCATCAACGAGATCGACAAGCAGGGAGCCATCCTTGAGGTCCACATCAAGTCGACGATCCAGGAGAACCCAGAGTCTCAGTTCAGCACCTATCGATGGGAAGGAATCATCGACGACATCCCGTCGTTCTCGGCATGGTAAAGCTTACTCTGTGTCTGATGGATCTGAACGAACAATAGATTTCCCGCCCGTGATTCCAGCCAGGTCGTCATCGCTCTCGGCTCCAACGAGTCGGAATGCCTCCAGAACATGCTCTCTAACTACCGAGAGTATTCGGGCTCATGATGCATTTCAGAAGCAACTCCAGCAAGAGCAGGCCAAGGATCAAGTCAAGAAGTTAGCCAAGGAACAAACCCCGACAGCTTCTGCCGACCCTTCAGAACATGCAAAGGAACATAACACAACACAGACAGCCAACGTTATACTCGAGGCACAGGATGCTCCGGTAGTTGAAAAGAGCGATTCAGATCGCCACCAATCCCTGGAGGTGCCCCGGGTTTCTATTCAAACGTCGCCAGATACCTATATTTTTGACGATCCTCTAAAGCTCGGCGCAGCGTCGTCCCTTGTAGCCTCTCCTAGATCGGATCGTTTCGAAGATGGTCTTTCGACGAAGAGGTTAACAGCTCGAAACACACCCTTTTCGGTCACATCTGCCGAGACCAACTTTACAGCCCCCGAGGTCTCAGAAGCTCTAATGGTCCACATGTATGCTCACCAAAATTCCTCCGTGCTCATGGTAAACCATTCGGCCAAACCTTCAGATGGGTCTGTCACTACCCAAAAAGAAGTTCCCCGTTCCGGCGGAGGATTCGAGCCTGGCAAGTCAGTTCTTGTTGACGACAATGATGAGGAAGGAATTCCTGTCACTCCACCGCAACCCCAGTTCTCACTGGATGATGTCGACTCACCGCTCCGGAACCCTCGAAGTCCACCGCAGCCCCCTAGCCACCCACCTGCGTTGGCTTTTATTCCGGCTACGCCTTCTGGGGTGACCCCTGCGCCGGATAAGACCATTCAGATGGGTAACTTTTTTGAGTCCATTGCTGAAAAACCCCCCAGCGCACGGCGACCTTCAATCGTTAGACGAGCATTCAGCCGGCGACGGCGTAATTTAGCAGTTGAATACCCTCCTAATTCTTCGAGGACGCCAAACTTTCTCAAGCGAGCTTTGTCTCTTTCTCGACGGAGGAATTCCCGGCATGGTGATGACAGAATCACCGCTCCGTATCGAGGAAACTATCCCTGGGAAGGCGATGAACCGCCCGAGGAAAATAAGCTGCATCCCTTTTGGCGACCTCAGTGGTCAGCTGATGAGGATGGCTATGATGACGAGTATGATGATGATGATGACGAAAGATACCAGGATCGCGGTAGGGATGAAGGCTATATGAGATATCCTTTGGTCGACAACCGTCCATCCAGACGGAGACGAAGCATAAGCGCCCGAGTCAAACGCACACTCACGGGGCTATCATCTCGTGAGGACGACGACTATGTGATTGATGATGGGGATGGGCCTTCCCGCCGCACCATCCAGCGTACTTTGAGTGGTAATTTACGGGTCATGAAGCGCCGAAGCAGTCTCCATTCGTTGAGGAGGCGCTTCAGCCAGACTGAGCGACCATCTACAGATTACGACGATCGAAGAAGCTTCTGGCGTGGCTCGAGTGCCCAGAAACGGACTCGTAGTTTAAGCCGTCGACGGTTCTCCCTGGACGAGCCCATCGAGAGAATTTCTGGTCTGTCAAGGAGGTTCAGCGAGAAACGTCGAGAAAAGCGGACTCAAGAGCTGCGGCGCAAGATTAGCGGGCCCAAAGACGTCCGGGGAGGCGTTGAAGAGGTGATTCGTTCTAGGAAGCAGCCTGGTTTCCTGTAGCCGTACGGCATCTACTTCTTGGTGTTTGATACTGAAGGTTGATTTGCTTAATGCTTTGAGCAAACATAACCAAAGCGCCCAAAAAAAAAAGGCTGGAACCCGGCTCCATGCGGTCGGGGCAAGTAACGATGCATATGAGGATACGCCATTGGGGAGCAGATTTCTGTTTTTTTATAGTAACGATTTGAACGACATTGTGATGATGGGCAAGTTTGAAGGTCAGAATACGTGGGCTATATATCAGGCGCGGGCGTCGCAACCAGAGCTCTATCTGCTTAGCAATTGATTTTTGGATGTTTGGTGTATTATAGAACGATATCACTATTGGTGAAGCCATAACCGATGGTTCATCATGATGCGCTTTGAATTACAAGCTTTTGCAACTTCCTAAATTTGCTGATAGGTTCCACGTGCATTCATATGTGATCTTTTATAATACGTGATCTCTTTACCAATTCACCACAACACAGATAGCTCAAATTGAATTCAAAAAAAAGTATATTCATATGCCGTAAACGCCATGTGTCAAGCAAGCCCAGTCGATTCCAAAGCAGTGTGACAATTCACCGCGTCATTCTAATACACTACATTTTCTCGCTGCCTCCACGCCGCTGAATCATTGCTGTCCAAATCATCGCCGGTCATGATGACTAGGCGCGTTCCCATGAGGGAAGCCAGGCGGGGGGATGCCTCCAGGCGGGAAACCAGGCGCGCCGGGAGGTGGCATGCCCGGCAGCCCTGGGAAGGGAGGGGGCACACCGCCCTGGCCTACCTGTCCTGGTGGCGGGAAGGGGGGGAACTGGCCCGGAGGGAAAGGCAGGCCGCCAGGAGGGATGGGAGGCATGTTGTTGGGACCGGGAGGGAAGGGGGGCATGGGACCGCCGCGGCCGCCGGGAGGAGCTGGAGAGAGAAAGCGAGTAAGTATGAGAAGAGAGCTTTTAGGGTTGGGAGAAGGAGGGGAGGGAGGAGGACGTACGAGGAAGACCCTGGGGCAGTTGGCCTGGAGGAGCGCCTGGCATGCCGGGGAATGGAGGTGGTGCACCTGGCGAAGAGGGATAGTTAGTATCTCGAGCTCTCTTGGAAGTTGAGTGGCATGTTTCCCCAATGAATGGGAAACGTGGGGGAGGATCGTGGACATCTCTGGCCTGGGGACGCAAACGTACCTCCCGGGAAGGGGAACGGTGGGAAGTTGTGCCCGGGCTGGTTGTGCGGGAGCATTGGGTTGGCGTGGGCCTGTCCCTCGGCGGCGTAGGAGGAGGTGATGGAGTCGATGACGGACTGGGCCTTCTCGTGGCCGATTTCTACATGTTGCTCAGAGGTTAGTCTATGCTTCGTTGTTTCGGGAGGCGGGGGGGGCGGCGCCCGTACGTTGGTAGTAGTCGACTACATTGCGCAGATGGTTTCGGCCGCTGTTGTGTGCTCGGCGCACGCTCATGGAGTCGTGCGTGAGGTAGACATCGCAGTAGTCGCCTGTTGGCGCGTGGTGGTTAGTGCTACTGGGATGAATAAAAGGGTCGCGTGGCGGGGATTTCTTACAGAAAACTGTGGCGCGTTAGCTGCTGTTCATTCTAGATACTCTATTGAGGGTGTTGGGACTTACATTTAGGCATCTTGGCAGGTATCTGGCTCAGGCGACGCTGATGACTTGGTTCGTATCACTACCGGAGGCTCGCGTTGAAGCCGGAGAGTAGCTCCAAAAGCTGGACAAGGCTGATCCCACACGTGATGTGGATCCGCTAGGCTGCAAGGCTGTAGGAAAAGAGAGCTCTGATTGGATATAAGTTCAAGGCGATTCTGTCTCTCATTGTAAGGTATTTAGAGAGCAAGTAAAATGGCTTTAACTGAGATTTGAGGCTTAATTTTGTCAACAATGGCTATGGATGATTCTTTAAAATCGTGGGACTTGGTAACAACATTTACAACTCGTTGAAAGTGTATATCAAGGCAAACCGTTTTTGTTTGGAGAGGTCATGGTGAGATAGGAGCACTATTGAAAATCGAACAGCAAGCTGTTCTTTCGCAGAAAATGAATATATTCCATTGACGCAATAATGCAACAACACAAACTACAAGACGAATCAATGGTAACCTTTTGCTGGGGTGTGTCACATACTCTGGTGAAGCGAAAAAGGGGTCCAGGTAGGTGCTGGAGTTGGGGAATTCCAGGGGCGCGCACGTGACCGCGCTGGAGCTCCTTTGATGGGACACCTTTCAACATCCACTAGCATGTGCCCTTGTAGCGATCTGTATCTCTAGACCAGACACCTTCACCCCCGACGACCACACGCAGGACTTGGGACAGCATGGCCATTCAACTATCACTGCTGCAGGTCCTCTGCAGCTTCATGCTGCTCTTCGGCGCCGCCAGTGCTCTCAAGTTCGATCTCCAGGCACACGCCGGCCGAGAGAACCAGAAGAAGGAACGATGTATCAGGAACTGGAGTGGCAGTAATACTCTGGTCGTTGTGACGGCCATTGTTGGTGGAGACAAGTCCGATGGCATGCAGGTTAACATTCACGTATGTTGCTCGGCTTAAAGCATGGGGTTAATGCATGACAAGAGTACTGACCTGGATGCGACAGATTCGCGACTCTGACGGCAACGAGTACGCTCGCCCTCGAGATGTCGTTGGCGAGTCCCGATCCGTCTTTACCACCCACAACGACGCTCCCTTCGACGTCTGCTTCGAGAACATCTTTACTGGCTGTATGTACTTGCATGTTGTTTTTCATGTTTTCAAGGTACCGAGTTAAATCTAACCGCATCTCGTTATAGCCCGACGACCCAGCCCCTCTACCCGATCCATCGAGCTCGACGTCGACATTGGCGCTGACGCCAAGGACTGGGCCGCCATCCAGGCCACCGAGAAGCTCAAGCCCGTCGAGGCTGAGCTGCGACGCATTGAGGAGCTGACGGCCGAGATTGTCCGGGAGATGGATTACCTGCGGGCACGAGAGCAGACTCTGCGCGATACCAACGAGAGCACGAACAACCGTGTCAAGTGGTTCGGCATCGGCACCACCTGGTTGCTCATCGGTCTTTGGGGATGGCAGATTATGTACCTGCGCGCCTACTTCCGCTCCAAGCATCTGATTTAAGCAAGTCAAGGACGGCGAGGATGAGTTTGCTATCTATAGGGACTACTTAACCACTGGCGGATTTACCTTGCGGCTTTATATCCTCGAAAGAAAGGCGACTCAGCGGATGGATGGCAGCATAGCTCACTATGGAGGCAGGATGACGAACGTCCATTGGAGTGGCAATGTATTGTGGGACATGTTGGCGTTTACAGATCAACACAGATGATTTGAGCGGGTTTGGTAACGAAAAAATACAAGGGTTGGACCTGGGTTAGTACTTGATAATACTGGAGAATGTATATTTCCCTGTACGAGCCTCGACCTTGTCGTATGTTGTAAGATCTGGCAGAGGGTTGAGATGGGAAGCAAGCGTAGAGTATGTGCTGGCGATTCTATCTGGCTGTAACAATACTGTTTATGAAGACCATTGAAAATGACAGAGAATCCGCTTTCTGATTTATGAATTTATCATGAGATTGAATGTATATCTCTAAGTTGTAAGCTGATGAATTGGCAGTGGTGTATGCCTAAACTCTGTTCTTGAGTGAGTGCCGCCCGGCTGGTCCCGGCGCCAGATCGGGGAACCAAGCTAATAATCCAAGCAACCTCATTCGTGACTTGGATTCTTTCCCTCGGCTTAGGAACAAGGTTCAACGCTCTACTTTAAACAACGTCGTCACCCAATTCCATCTTCCAATCCAACTCTCAGCCATCTCCATCGTACACCGAACAACCATATACGGCTAATTAATCAACCGCAATACACAAATCAGCCATGTCGGCTTCCACCTCAGTCTCCCGCACCGTCCTCCGGCCTGCTTGCCGACGCTTCCTCGCCAGTCACACCCGCACATTCGCCACAACACCCCGCTGCCGCAACGACAACGACAATCGCGAGTTCGGCGTCGGCGAGCTGCAGGGCATCAAGTTCCGTGTCGCGCCCCTCCGCCGTGTCGGCGAAGACGATAAGACCAAGCGAGCCCGCCTCCTCTGTATGGTTTACTGTCCCCCCTCCCCCTCCTCCTCTCGCCTCCATCAACCGGCTAACCAAGATCCCAAATCTCCAGACCAGTCGCGCAAGCGCGGCACCCTCGAATCGGACCTCCTCCTCTCCACCTTCGCCGCCACCCACCTGCCCACCATGTCCGCCCAGCAGCTCCACGAGTACGACCTGCTGATGGACGAGAACGACTGGGACATCTACTACTGGGCCACCCAGCGCGAGTCGCTCTCCTCCACCAACCCGTCCAAGGCAGAGGACGTCGCGGCCCCCCGCGAAACCCCCACCGGCGAGTGGGCGCAGACCGTCGGCAACTTCCGCCCCGCGTACCGGCCCGTGCCCCAGCGCTGGCAGAAGAGCCAGATTCTGCAGCTGCTGAGGGAGCACGTGAGGTCGCGGAGCGTCGATGGCGACAAGGGCAAGGGCATGGGCTTCATGCCCGCCCTGGGGGAGCAGTAGTGAGTCTCGGGTTCTGAGCTTGAGCGAGCGGAGGGAAGGGGGCGGGGTTTCTACCTGCTGTCCTCCGCCATGTAGGAATACTGGTTTGGGAAGCATGTATATAAAAAGCTGATGCATTATACCGGTCATCTCTTCACGCCACTGGAAAAAGCCATCTTCAAACCTCGGGAAGAGAGGGTTAGGTGGATTGAAGAAGAGAGAGCCTGGGGCTCTCAAGGGTATTTTCATATGAGGTCGGTAAACAAGCATCTCGGTAGAGAAGAAGAAAAGGCCCAAGGCCGAAAAAAGTACATGTAGTCACGCTGTACCAAGATCAATCGCATGCCGCCCCTATCCATTGCCCCCTAGGTAACACATTTCAAACTCCGTCAGCACCCGTCCAGGTAGAAATTGTTTTTGTCTCCTCCAGTCCTTACGCCGCTTTGCTGTCCGATCTATGGCAAAGATTCCGGGATATCCTTCGTCCCAGACATGTATAACAAAGAAAATTAGTGAGAGAAATAAAAAAGAAAGAGCGGGTTCTCGTCTCGTCGTGGATATCGTCAAATAAGGTATAGAAGGGTTCAGCGCCGATTGCAAGTTGGCTGCTGTCACCCGCCGCCTTCTGGTAATATGCTGCCTAGACTTCTCAGAACCTCCATTATCGGCATGTCCTTGGTCCCGGCTTGCCTCCTTTCTCTTTCTTCTCGTTCTCGTAAGCGGACGGCGCTGAGGCTCAGTATTTGCTCTGCCTCCTTGCCAGCAACCGTTACTCGTTGATCTAGTTTGTGTATGTTGTCTGCTAACTGATCAATCTCAAATTCTAGAGATGACCGTATGGTTTGCAGTCGGGTTTGGGTCTTTGCGTGCAATGCTACAAATGAATTGCTCTGGTCTGCAAGATACCCTCGAATTTTGCCATCGTCTTCGTCTAATAGATCGAAGTCTGGTAGTGTAATTTGGCTTATCTCCTCTTCAGAGTAAAGCTGAGGTGGTTCGGGCGGTAATTTCCTCATTGCCTGCCACGCTCTTTTTTCCTCTTGTAGCCTGCTCAATCACTGTTAGCAGGGAATTTCTCATAGATGAATCAAGAGGAAAGCCCACCTTTGGATATTGGCTTCTAATTGTGCCATCTTTTCGTCAAGCTCGATATTTCTCGGATTAGGTTTCAAAATGACAGGTGCCTTAGGACCCTCATCACGACTGAACCAATCCGAGAATTCAGATCGTACCGAAAAGTCCTTAAGTAATTGGTCTTGGATTGCACGAGCTGGAACCGCGGTTAGCTTTGCAATAGCCCTCAGATAGTAAATGCAGTGCCCTACCTCCATGGATGATGCTGGAATTCTTAGTACCGTGAGCTGGCTTCACAGCCAGTGCACGTTCGCCGCACCAGGTTAAAAGTTGTTTCATACGCCGCGTCTCCGTCAAGCCCTCCTCGATGTGTTTGTAAAATTCTGCCGGGTTGACTTCGCGGTGAGGTATTGCCGTTTGCCCGCTTTCTATGAGCGAGCTTGCTCTCCTGCCTCGCGACCCCAGGCTGCTCCGCCGATTGCTCCCCTTCTTGCGCATTTCCTTGTTCCGGTTGATGATGGGCGTATCGCTCATCGGGAGAGAAATCTGCGCAGACTGAACAGCCTGCTCTTGCACAGGCACCATCTCGGGCTCCCTCGCCGCCTTCGTCGACTTCCCCTTCTTGCGGCCCCGTCCATTGGACGTACCGTTCGTGTGCGTCCTCTCCGCCCTCGCCTCTTCCATCAGCGCGACATCCTCGGACGTATGGCGCGTGCTCCTGCGCGTCGTCGTCTTCTGAACCTTGGGCGCCGGCTCCTCGGGCATCACATCCTCGCTGGCCTTCCGCCGTGCGCTCTTCCGCGTCGTAGATTTCGTCGTCGCCGCCACGGGCGTGGCCTCCTGCTCCTCTGGTATCTCCGCAATCACCTTGGCCTCCTTCGGCGGCCGTCCCTTTGGCGGTCGACCCCTCCCGGCCCTCTTGGGCGGCTCTGGCTCCTCCGTCTTCACCCTCTTCGTCTCCCTCACGAACATGAAATCACCATCCTGCTCAAGATTCGCCGGCGCTGCCCCGTCCGTTAGCTGCACGTTCCCTTCTCCTCTTCTCCCCTGCGTCAGGCTGTGGTCCGGATACGTACCGGCGAGGCGCTTGCTTGTCCGGCGCTCCTGCTGGTTTCCCATGCTCAGAAGTTCTAGCGCCCGTCGAGTCTCCACGAGAGTCGTCATGGATGGATTATTCGAGGCGGCATTGAGATCAAAGGCGCTGGGCGGTGGTGGTGGTGGTGGTAGTCTGGGGTGGTGGTGGGCGCGTGCAAGCGAGTCGGTAAGTACCAGTCGCGTCACCAAATGTTCCGCGACGCAATTAGCGGCGGGGGGTGAGGAAATACCGAGCCGTCCCTCGTATCGCGTGACAGTTGTGCAATATGCGGATTCGAATGGTGTTTTCGCCCTGGGTGCGGTGTAGGGGTGATTTGACGGCGATTCGGCCGGCGCAAGACGAGACTTGTGGTAGTTTGGGTTGGCCTCACATTTGTTTACCTCGCATTGCAAGAAGAGGATGAGGGATGCCTCATTGAGCTTGGCGCTAAACCACATCCGGTATCCGCCTGACCCCACCCCCGAACACTCGGCTCTTCAACTCAAGCCTCGCACGTGACTTTTTCCAATAGTGCTTTGTGCCACTATTATTGACTATTAGCATCAGCGTCCAGATCTTGCAATCGTCAATTGTCGCCCATCAATGTGCCTTTCTTATTCTTTCGTGTCCTCCACTTAACATCCGAAAGTTTTATTCACGGTCATTCACTAATGAGTTAATCCAACGCCCGGTTTCCGAGTAAGCAATTGGTGTGTGTAGAGTCTCAACGCCAAAAGTGTAATGTAAATGTACCATTCGCCCCAAAGGGCTACGTAAAGTTATTCTTGGATAAAACTATCATTCCGTGATCCGCGTAGCCTTTTGTTGCCTTTTGCTACCGAAATTAAACTTAAAAGGGAACAAATAACTCAAAAGATATGCCCATACAAACACCAAATACAAGGACCTTTTGATAGTACCGTCCTCCCAAATCCCATCCATCAACGCCACGAGCAAAGCAAGCACCCCAGGCCGAAACACCAGATGCAATGTGCCTATGCCTTGCCAAGAGATACATCGTTTTACTTACAAAATCAAAGAATATCCTCATGCGGCCGTCCAATAAGCTCCCCCTCCAACATCGAATCTCATACACGTTCAAGAGTCAATCCTACTCAACTCTATCTCTGCCACCAGGCAGACTTTCATAACAAAACCCCCATAAGCGCCATATATCGGTTTCAGCCGCTAAACGCCTCATCCACGGTCATCAGCCCAGTGTCACCCGAGGCCTTCACTTGGGGGTGAGGGTTTGCTGAGATTATCAGATTGCCGTTGTTGATCTGTATCACTCCAGCCACTGACATATCGTCTGTCAGTCAAGAAATTTTCAAAGGTTTGTGGCAAAGAAGATGTCTCTATCTAAGAGAAGCGTCGCTGAACACCTTGGCCTGCGATAACTTGCTGGCCGGGTAATGGCGCGGCCATTCC